CCCTAAACCCTAAACCCTGAATGTCTGCTTGTCGGGTCCTCTAGGGCTTCAGGAGTTTACGGTTTCTAGACTTCCGGTCCATGGTGGAGGGCTCTTAAGGGAGAATTTAGCAAGGCCCCCTCTATGACATCCTGCACCCGACATGCCTGGACCCTGAAGCGCACGCCGTAAGTTTAGGGTTTAGGGTTTGGGGTTTAGGGTTTAGGGGGGTTAGGGTTTAGGGTTTAGGGGTGTAGGGTTTGGGGCTTAGGGGTTTAGGGCTTAGGGGTTTGGGGTTTAGGGTTTAGCAACGTTCATCAGCACCTTGAACTCTTGTAGGATCAGCATCCTGGAACCATCAACCCTAAACCCTACTTGGAGGATCATGGGACAGAATACGTACCTTAGTTACTTATATGTAGGGCTACATTAATTAATCATAACCCTAGTCGCTACGTCCCATGATCTTATCAGCAAGCTGTTTAGGCTTTAGGAGGGCTTGGGCATATGGGGGCCTTAATGATTAGACTAGGGTTTAGGGGGTATATGATACTATAATTACAACAAGGAACCACCAAAACCCTATTCTAATCCTTGAAGGCCCTACATTAGGGTGGTTACTGGCCAGGGCTCGTTCATCAGCATCTTGAAGAGGCCATGGATGGAGAGCTTGTCGCGGATTTTCACCTGTCATGGCTTCGAGGGTTTAGGGTTTAAGGTTTAGGGTTTAGGGTTTAGGGTTTAAGGTTCAGGCGATTTCGTTTGATCTAGGGTGCGTTTTATAAGTGTGGCACACCCCCATTCTCCTCAACACTCAACAGGTGCAGCTCCTTCTGGAGCTCGCACTGGTCTAGAGTTCAGGGTGTAAGCTTAGGGTTTAATATTTATTGTGTTCTTGAAGCGGAGGGAAGGGGGGTTGTACTGTCGATGCTTCAGTCCCGTGGCTTCTCATGTTTCACGACATGTGACGACTCAATAAAGTATTGGCAGTTATTGAGGCCCCTATGTTAAGTGTGTCAAGGCACGATGTGCAACTCCTCCAGCAGAGTGGATGGAAGGAACTTCAGCGCGATGGGCCTCCAGAAGGCAAGCCAGTACATGCTGTTTAGTGTTTACGGTTTGTTTTTTTTTCCAGGTTTTCGGGCTTAGGGTTCATTGCTTGAGGATTTGACTCATGTCCTGTGACTTGTTCCAAAAACATACTGCGCTCTCTTGAGCTCGAGGAGGTTTCGAAAGACTATGTCGCGAAGTTGAAACTTTGTTCTGCAATAAAAACGGGTAGGGGGTTGGACCTCAACTTGGATCTGCAAGGGCGAGACTGGAAAATCACGGCCTAAACTCAAACCCTAGATGAGCGCTTATTGAGCAAGTGCCTGATATATATATATATACATATATATATATATATACATATACACACACATATGCACACATACATTCATTTTGTTCATGCCCTACAGGGTACTTGTATCATATCCGTCGGTTCTAGATGGTTTGGTTTCAAGGTCTAGTTGTGTACGGCCCTGTGAGCGTGCCCATGAAGCACCCAACACTCAGCCAACAAACAATGCCAGCGCTACTTAATATAGGGGCCTTAATGATTAGAATAGGGCTTTGGGGTATATTATACTACAATTCTAACAAGGAGCCCCCGAAATAGTATAGGTAATTATTTGGGTTTCTACGTTATGCGGGCCTTTTCGGCCTGACACCC